ATTAGAAAAATGGATTCAGCAAACATGTAGGACTGGGCCCTGGAGTCAACAACCACATCTTGGTGTAGGCAATAATCTTTCATGCAGGAACTTTCATGCTAATTAGGCAAGCAACTGCATAAACACTTGCATGCACAGAGTACATGTCTAAAATATCTGAAAAAAAACAAGCACAGAGTTTCAATTCTTTTCTATATTAAGATGCAGGATCAGAAATCCAGGCAGTGTTGATATTGGACTGTCACTGACTTTAATAAGCCAAACATCTGGAGCTTTCTGAACCTCCATTTTATAACCCACGTTTATAAATTAAGTTACTAATACAACACATTTTTCTGATGTGCATGTTTTTCTTGGAAAAGATGTGATATATTTCACACTTAAAAGCTATATCATCTATTTGAAATCTCATCAATTTTAACTAATAGATTCCATGCTGTTTCAAGTGTGCCACTTGTCTACAACCACCACTTACTTTTGTGTATTTACAGTCTGGTTTTGAATAGATTTATTTTTTAGATAGGAGGTAGAACATGTAAACAGGGAAGAAATGATCCCATAAATGAATAAATGAAAAATAGTGAAACTGTATATATACAAAGTACTGTCAAGCATACAAATGGAAAAGATGATAACTGAAAAGCAAGAATCTTTAAGAGCCACTGGTAGCCATAGCAACCATAGCTTTTTCAGAAATGAACACGATTTAAATATGGTCAGTGCCTGCTTAGTTTGTGGGTGTAGTTATTTAGCGATCTCCTGAATAATTTTGATCATATTCCACACATTCTACCAATACAATAATCTTCTTAACTAGCACTTTGGTTGCTGAGATTGGGACCTTGATAATTAATATAAGGTACTGGTTGTACTGGCTGCCCTCTGGTTTTATTGAATTATGATGCTTGCAGCACCAGCCTCCAAATGAGGCCATAATACTGGACTTTAACGTAGAAACTCAGACATAAATGCAGTCTTGATCTGCTGCGTTAAACCTTTTTAGTGCTGAATCAGCTTGCACGCACAGGGAGGTGTAGGTGCTCTAGTTAGCTCAGTTGCAAACTAAAGGATGTGACAGCACAGCGCACTGAGCTCAGAAAAGGCTGGAAAACCCAACTGAGCAGCTCAGTAACTAGTGGCTGCCCCGTGCCAAACTCTTTACTACCATTTCTAAACTTGTTAGCTCATAAAAACAGCGAAACTGGCCTTTAGCTATAGTTACCGCAGTGATGAAGGCATAGGAATGTACCCAAAGAGCCAACAGCTTACCATTACTGTTTCATTTTCCAGAGACAGGTTTAGAACAATGATCAACGTCCTAGGAGATGCGCTGGCTGCTGGGATCATGGCCCACATCTGCCGGAAGGAGTTTGTCAAGGACGGAGACGAGGTAAAAATGCCATGAGCCAGGGTGTGCCAGCATGTGCCATGTTATGGCAAAGAACCAGCGAACGCTCAGCCTCCCACATTTGTTTCATCTAGTTTATAAAAGGTATTTCAGAGAGAGGACAGAATTGGGCAATGTGCTGCTTAGCCAGATGAGGTGGAGGGGTCCTCTTCCATGAGGTCATGCAAAAAGCCACTCAAGTTCAAAGCTTGCCAGCCAGCGGTGTCTGGCACACTGGGGCTAGGAGCACAAGAAGCAGCTGCACTGTCCTGCAAATGTCCAGGTGCTGGAACTGCGAGTCCCACACTCGGTACCCAAGTCCTGACTGGCCAGTAAGTTGTCCTTCTTCTAAAAATGTGACCAGCAACAGAGCAGGGTGACAAACATCCTTGAGTATTTGTGTGTAAGGGGAGGTAAAGGTATCTATGAATGTGTACATGCATAATCAATAAGCTCGGAACAAAAGCAACTACCCTGGGTGTTTCAGGCTTCTGTGTTAGCATAATCTGAAGCCACCATTGCAGTAATTTCCTTCCTGGACTAGCACAAGCATATTGCTCCATTCTAGACTTCATTCTCAGGCATCTTCATGCCTTCTACATTTAATAGCAGTCCCTCCTTACATCTTTGTTTTTCCTTCTCTATATCTTATTCCACACATACCTCTGTATTCTGCCCCTGCCTCCCTCCCCTCCTATGCTCTTTTTCCTTCCTCCTTGGCATGCATCATTCAGTCTTTCCTTATACCAGGAACTCCTTCTCATGCTCTTCCTTCAAATCCTTGACAAAGGAGATTCCTAATTCCACGAGCCCATCATGCTTGGAGGTGCTAATCTCCAACCATTTCAGCTCATGGCAGACTCTCACTACCTTTCTTCCACAAAGACAGACTAGTTTATGCAGAAAAGTTTCTTCATCAGGACTGATTTTCACAAGGCATGTTTCATTTCTGTGCATCATTTGTAGTATTCTGCAAAGAAGAGGAGCATTAATAGCTGAGTTTTATTTCTATTATTGTTTCTCCCATTTTATGGACAGCCTTTCTGGTAAATCCTACTCTCATGCCTTCCTGCAAAATGCTTTTGAAATTCCTGCTCTTTCAAGTTTTATAGTGAAAGACAGACCTTGTCCTCTGAGGTACTTAGCACCTGCAGTAATTACTGGTGACAGGATTAGGCCTGAATATATGAGCTGCATATATAGCTAGCTGCAAAAAAACTAAACATACAACCTAATGGTAAGGAATGTCATCTGTTACAAAGCCAGAAGCGTAGTCTGAGTTCCTGTGTAACACAGGCCTCCTGACATTTCATTGCTGTATTTAGAACTCAGTCACAACTCAAGAAGAAATGTTTCAAGAATATAAAATCCCTCCTAAGGGATTATTTAGTCATCTGTGATGAGATTTTTCTTTGCATCGTGCTCAGTAATTGTATTAAAATATAGCATTAGTCTGCCATACATTTTGGCTGCATAATTTGTGGAATTAGTAATGCATACCCAAAGGCCAAATTTTCTCAGCTGCAAGCCCATGCCTTTTCTCTGCCAGTATTTATGTCTTATTTTCCCCGTCAGAACTTCTGGTTTGGTTTAAAGGACACTTCAATATTTAACTTATGAATCAGTCAATAAAACGCTCTTTATTTCTTTTGAAACAGTGCAAACTGAAAAGACAGGTGTTAGTTCATTGGGTTAGAAGGCAACAACAAATGACTTACTGGTCTATGTAATTGCACTCAAGAGCAAGCACTGCTGAAAACTCAGCATACTGGTCATTGAGAGTCCATATCTTTTGAACTCAGCCCTGAAATTCTAGTCTTTATTTACCCTACTTATATCACTTTACTGATGCAAACAGTTATTATTGTGGGTGTAAGTTTAATTTGAGTTGTGACAGAATTGGCATTTTACATGCTTAGAGACACCTTCACTTTATCCAGATGGTACAAAGATGCTTTAGTGTATATGAGAAGCAGATCCTGGACATTGTGGAGGCCCTAGTTACTCCTGGTGAATGTAAAGCAGACCACAGGCTTTCAAAGTAAAAATTCCTTTCCTGTTGTATACAGCAGACAGTGGCAGTATTCCAGATCTTAATGCTTTTCACATAGGTGCCATTGATCTGTGAAACTAAGCCTATTAACGTCCATCAGATTGTGGCTTACCAGAGAAATGGCTGTGTGAAGACCATGAATGAATCTCGTGGACCAGAAACAGTGAAAGGGTTTCAGCACCACATACCTGTACAACTGGAGCAAGAAGAAAGTCCAGTGGAGAATCACACTAAGAAATCCAACAGTAAAGACCACTGCACTATTGAAATAAATGAACTAGAAACAAATGTGTGACTGCTACACTCAGTGGTATCTCATACCGCAGTGACCTGATACCCAATCTCTACCTCACAGCTGGAAGAAGGACTCTTTGCCTTGAACAGGAAAATGTGGAATTATCACCACCCTGCTTGTACTGGAACTAGGAGACCAGCTGTGAACGTCAGGAAAGGCACACAGCTTGCAAGAGACATGGGCATCTTTAGATGGAAGATTTTAATACTGAGAAATTAACTAATGGACAACTGCCGTTTTATTCTGCACTCATTTGACTCCAATATAGCATTTGACACTCCTTTGGCTTCTTTTTTTTGTAAAGTTTTTTTTATTTGACCCTTTTTGATTTTCTAACCAAAGCCTTTTTTTTGTGAATCTCAGTAATTATGAACACTGTATTTATGTAGATTTTTTGCTATGTGAAAATGTTTCACCAAAACTGCTAAAGATACTAATTTTGTCTAATATTCGCTAAATAATAGAGTTTGTGCTTAGTTTTAGAACAGCAGTAAGAAAATCACACTGATTTCCTGATCTCAAGGGGTTACATATATTACTGAATAACACTGCAAGCAGATGTGAAGCAAAGCATGCAATTTTGCAAGAAAGCACATTAAGGTAATTCTGATGGGCAGCCTTCAGAGACAGGCATTCAAGTGTGATACATAACACAAAGAATTCCTAGGTCACTGCAGAGCAGTTTGCCTTTCAAGTGCCAGATTTATTAACCTTTTTTTAACCTAACTCTTCAGTCAAGTCAGTACCATGCACATGCAGTGGCAGAGGCAACGTAAACCCTAATCCATAAGCACTGGTGCTAATATGTCCTCTCCTGTAATCTGTAGGCTGTTCTACTGTAAATATGTATAAACCCATACGCTTCATCCTCAGGGCAGACTGAACATAAACTGGAACCCAATGATGCTGAGTAATTTTGGGGCTCTGTGAGGAGTTTGCTGTGGAAACCGGCCCGTTATTTCTCATAATTCAGTGGTTGATCTACATTGACAGTTACTCCCTTTCCACTGTCTACTGAATCTTTCAGTTACAATAAAATCTGCCGAGTATGTTTCCAATGTTTGTGATAGAGAACATTTTTAATAAATCTGCCATTTAAAAACAGGCTGTCTGTGCACTTCTACTATTAGTGTCTTCTTATTTCTCTGCCAAAATGGAGAGTGGAAGTGAGGAGACCTTTTGAAAAGTTGGGATTTGATCCAGAGATTACATACTAGTTCATACCAATACACTTAACATATTATATTTAGCTACTTGTGGCATATCAGTTTCGGATAACATGTGTCTGGTATTACAATATGCTCCTCTCATCTGTAGAGAAAAATAACCCAGTCAAAAAGGACAATTTCTGCACTCACCAGAAGCAGAAGTGCTTCATGCACACGATTAATGGTTTTCTTGGGATGTGCATATTGTCCTTTTCTTTGAGGGCTCCTGTTCAGACTATTTCTTTTATGTCATGCACTGATCAGCTGCCTCAGAGAGCTGTAGTATAGGTAGTTTAAATATCAAATAGTAAAGCCAGAAAGAACAAACATATATCTTACATGCCTATAATTCCTCAGAAATTATGTATTAACTTGAAAATACATATGGTTGGTAACTATTTTCCTGATTTGATCCTAGCGTGAAAACAACAAACGCGGAACGCAGAGAATAGGGAAGAACTGAAATTATTCAGAACAATTTACTCCTGAACAAGTCCTGTAATGGACCTGCTCTGCAGAGTGCCATTGAAATGTGTGGTTTGGGAGAGCTGAGGCTTGTCTGTGCCTCTCTGAATGGGCAGAAGCACTAGCTGACAAACGCGGCATCTGATACTTTCACCTCAGTAGCACTGGCAGCTCCAGAAGGTCCCCTTCATCCTTCCCCAGCTGTCCATTGCTCCCCGCACTGCCTCCCCTCCTCTCCCAGCTGTACAGGCCCAATTATTTATGAGGCCAGATGAAGAATCAAATGAGAAGTATTTTTAATTCAAACCAGTTCACATATGTTTTTAGCACAGTCCTAACAGAGAGTTGTGTCAACACAAGTGAAGGGGTGACACAGGGACAAGAACAAGCAGCCAGGGATGAAGCAGCACATGTGGAGAGGGCAGGATCTCCGCATGCTGACTTTGCCAGCAAAGAACCCGTAACATAAAGTTTGAACTTCACATAGTCAATTACAGCTATGTAAAAGTGATAGTAAAATCCTGCCAGTCATCCATCGCTTTACAATCACTTTGCACAGATAAAAATGACGAAAAAAGAGGCCAACTAGATCCAAGATTTGGAATGATTAGTTTCAAACTAAGTGGTTTTGGATGAGCCTGCCCACACACCATGCCAAGGTGCCATGGGCTGTCAAGCTGAAAGTGCTGCTGGCCTTACCACCACCTTCTTCTCCAGCCACCTACAGCCTTTGGCTAACTACAAAGTGCAAATCCTTTTGGCTGCTTGCCTGAGACAAGTTACTTAGTCTGACACCCTTCAGCTTAGTCATGTCTCAAGAGGTCTAAGCCAACTTCAGGGCTAAGAAGCTGCAACCTCTACAAGAGTAACTTTAAATGAGATAAAGCTTCAAAGACCAGAAGCAGCAGCCAGTTGTGCTGCACAACCCCTACACAACAAAGAAAATCACAATTTTGCCATTTACATTCTGGCAAGTAGGGAATGCGGAAGTCTCATGTATGAAGGCATATTTTTATGGAATCAACAGGCTGGTCTAATATCAGCCTTTTGCATTCAAACCTTATTCAAAGAGTTTCCAGTTTTGCTTTGCAAATTTGAAATGCTTGTCTTTTTTTTTACATTATATTGTTCATATCTTTAAAACTTGGAGGTTATACAAATACGTGCCTCCCATTCAGCTGGGAGGAAGGCAGTGGCCCAGTTTCTCACCTGACCTTTATCATTTGTGGTATCAAATACTGCTAACTATGGGCCTACAGCACTTTAGTTCTTTGTTCCAGTAAATATACATTGCTTAGTGTAGTGTGGCCTTGACTGGAGCATCTGACTGTCATTCTGTGCTGAACACAAGACACCACTGTTAACTGGGGAGAGACAAACAGCGAAGTTAAAATCTTTTTTACAGTAAGTTTTCTTCCCTGCTAGCTATTTTCTGTGTCTTATGGTGTTGTCAAGCAGCTTGACACACAGTGCAATTAGGCCCACAGTACGTTCCATATCATATTTGCATGCATGGATCTGTTCGCATTTTCTAGCTATAATCACACTTCGTTCCAGCAAAAATAATGAAGCTGTTGATTATCAAGTTAGAGTGCAAGGTTTGTGTTGGTAAATATGTTTCTTCTACTTCCAGAGCATAAAAACAAACATGTGACCTTTATAATCTGAAAACTTTTATATTACAAAAAAAAAAAATCAATCAATCAATCACTAGTTACAACAGTTTGCATGGAATACTTTCAAGTATATGTGGAAAGAATCTATTTCTTAACTGGCAACATTCAACCTTATTTTGAAGCTGCCTCCCCCTGCTAAAAAGAAAGGGAATTTATCCAATTAAAGTATACTCAAGGCACACTAGGGGAGAGTGTTGAGGAGGGAGAGAAGATAATTAAGGGTGGTACATTGTATAAAGCTATGGAAGAAATAATTTGGGAAGAACACAAATTAACACCTACTTATCAGAGACAGTTGTTTTATGCTGGTTAATTTGCAACTGCATTTTTCTAGAGGTACTACTGAGAGGAAAGAAGCCCTTGCAGATTGTTGTGGCATCATTAAAGACCTCTTAAACCAGGTTCTTGAGGATTTTGCCAATGCCAAGGAAGTTTTGAAGTGTTGAATTACTGTACTAAATCCTTGTGCAAGAACTAAAACTGGGAGAAACAAACACAACCAGGGCACTTACACATCCCACTAACTCCCAAGAGCTTTTGGCTTCCAACCCAAATACAGAAAGTTTATGGGACTGACAGTTACTCATAGGCTCAGCTAGTCTTAATTGATGCCAGTTACATTACTTCATGGCAGCTAGGCTTATTTGTGCCACCTGAATATGCATCCCAACAGACAAATAAGATGATCTAAATAATTAGCCAAAACATTAAATTTTAGACTCCCTCCATGCTATACTAGCAATTCTAAAGCACTTAGAGAATACAGTAACTCTGTAACATCCCTATTTGATGAGCTCTCACTTTCAATTCTACAACAAACATTCATTTTAGTCCCATTTCAGCAACAGCGAACTGATCTGTAATACTTTCAAAGCAGACAAAAAGCTTCATCTTCAAGCCAGATGGATAGTATTAGAAATTACCTCAGTCCTTTCTGTGCTTTCCATAAAAATGAGGTAACTACTAGCTAAAGGTGGTTGATGTGTGAAAGCAAAATGTGTAACCTAGGAAATTAATTGAATTTGGAAAACTCCGGCTGCCTTTTATCTTGCCCAGTGCTGAGTACTCCTGTGCCTGTGTCTCCACTGAACGACCAGGTGTGTTTTTAAACCAAGACAGCTATCTTTCATTAGTCACAGCAGTCATGAGGAATTGCTGGGTTTCCCCTCCAGGCATTAAGCTGGCTAAGATCACAGCCCTCCAGCTGAGGACTAAAAACAATGAGGAGAGAAATCAATGTAGGTTTTTCCACAGGGATGCTACTGCTGCCTATCTTGCAGTGGGGGAGCACATATTTTTGCAATAATATGGCTGGAAAATACCTGAGTTTGCTGCATTTGGAAAAGAATAGACAAATGTAATGCATCCATTCACTAAGGGTTGAGCTGCAAATCAAATATATTTATTAATTTCTCACTTTAGCCTATGATTTCACATACAACCAAGGAGGCAATATATGCTCAAAATTACATTCCCCACTAACTACTTTTGAGCATATCGAGTGATACTTCTCAAATTTATAAGAGGGTTTTTCCCACAAAACCCCAAATGGATGAGATCAATAGAGCAGGAAGGGTGGTCACTGCCTAAGTTCAGTTCATTATTCACTATCTCAGACTTCTCGTGTGACCTTATGGTCAAGTGACCACAG